ACACATATACCACTGTCAACAGCTCAAACACATGTGTTCTGGTGTTTCGTGACCCTTTAACCATGCGCTACTGGGCAGCACAAGACACGTTCAAACTGGCCTCAGGATGCAAAATGCAGGATATACAGATTACACATGTATTGATCTCCACTCTGAAGAGGCGCAAGACATGTTTAGCTGCATCTTCGGTTCACTTATGGGGTTTATTGTGAAATTTGAAGAGTATGCTTCATCAAACACATGTAGTTGCAGAATTGTGACAAATCACTCAGCTCAATCTGATCAGGCACAGGTTGACAAGAAGTCCTTGCTGTGTTTTCTTTGACTGTAGCTTCACAATACAACACAATACATGTTCATCAAGATTAATTGTAATTTAGCCTTTATCCACAACAGATGAAGAGCAAAAGAGGTTAACATTACTCTGATGGGGTCTATATTTGGCCCTGGTCAGTATACTATGCTTTGTGTGTGTGTGTGTGTGTGTGTGTGTGTGTGTAAGAGCAGCACATCAGAGCGGAGCTCATTAATATTCATGACACGACCCAAATATGGTCAATTGTGGATCTTCTAATTTTATGGAGTTATAAATTAACTTATAAATGTCTTTCTGGAGATTTTCTAACTTGCTGAATCCATAAACCTCCTATGTAGATATCAGAGAACAGTTTAACTTATTAAAAACCAATGCAGTTTATGGAGAGAGAGAGAGAGAGAGAGAGAGAGAGAGAGAGAGAGAGAGCTGTGTGTGTTTCTGAAACACTACAAGTCAATGAGCCTGAACACGGTTTGATCCAGAAATATCTTCAGTTGTGTTTCTCAGAAGAACGCCTAAACCCAGAGAAATGACTAATTTTTGAGTGAACTGACCCTCTTTTTCATCTGTTTTCAGAGGCAATCCATTACTCATGAAGAATTTTGATCAATCAGTCTTTAAACACACACTGCGGACACAACTGCTGGTGAAGATGTGCTAAATGAACAATAAAATGGGGTTGTAGATGATTCTTCAGCTTCACACACACACACACACACACACACACACACACACACACACACACACACACACACACACCCAGAGGATCAGACAGATTTCTCTTCAATATTTCATGTTCATTCATAGCCAAACACACACACACACACACACACACACACACACACACACACACACACACACACACACAGAGGAATGTTCTACTTCCTGCGCTGAAACAGATCAGTCCAGATCAGACCAATCATGACTGTCACAAATGAAAACCATCAAATCCAGATCAGACCAGATCAGACTTTACTAAACCAAACTAGACCAGACCAGACCCAGGGCTGGGCCGATAAAGTCTGTATCAGTATTTGTTGACCGATCACCATCGTCAATGATGATAAAAAATAAAAAGTTTGGTATGAAGTGACAAGGTTATAATAGTTCTGGATTCTTCATTAGTTTCTATTTCGTTTTGACTTCTTGTTTTCAAATTCAGTCCGTTGTAATCAGTTTTAGAAGCAGATTTACTAGTTTTTATTAGTTTCTATATTTTGAAACTGCTTAGTTTTAGTAAACTTTTTATTAGTTTCAGTTTTATTCTAAATGAGGATATTTGTCAGGTGCAAGATTTAACATCAACAGAATAAATATTGTTTAATAAAAACTCTTTTTTTGAAACAGGCTTAAGTGCAATAAGTGTGCAAGGCTGCTTCAGAGGTTAGACACACAGTAGTGATGGGAAGCTCAGATCTTTAACATGAACCAAGTGCCTCAAGTATCAGGTTTCACGCTCGCGTTTAGATTTACTAACAATGAAATGAACATGAGAATGTGTGTTGGTCCACACCAACTTCATGTCTGGCATATGTGTGTTTCTTGTGTGTGTTTTATTTCCATTGGCGACTCCTAGAGGCAGTTGGGTTAAATTGCACACTACAAAGTGTCGCACCAACACATGTAGAAAACACTGCTGTTCATTTATAATTGATCAAATAAGTTAATTGACACTATATTATTTTACTAATTATGTGATTTAGGACATATAACAGCATTTGCAAATGTACACAAGCCTTAGTCTATGGCAGGGGTCACCAATCCTGGTCCTGTAGTGCCGGTGTACCTGCAGGGTTTAGCTACAACTTGCCTCAACACACATGGCTGGGTGTTTCAAGTACACCTAGTAAGACCTTGATTAGCTTGTTCAGGTGTGTTTGATTAGGGTTGGAGCTAAATTCTGCAGGACACCGGCCCTCCAGGAACAAGTTTGGTGACCCCTGGTCTATGGCAATGGCAGTGTTGGCTTTATTAGAGGACATTGTCAATGATCGAATCCAAAGGGAACGCATTATTAGGGATCACAGTGATTTCCGGTCTACCTCCGATAGGAGCCCCTCACATTCACATTCGGTCAAGTTTCTCCTCATGCCTTTGCCATTGCTTTGTTGTTTGGTTTTGCCGAAGTGAAGTCATTAGCATATTCATACGGGGGAGAGGCAGGGAGGAGTTTGCGCTCATGCACTCAATTTCACGTTAATTCAGATGTACAAAGAGAATGAGTGTGGGATTTTTTACTGCGTACGCACATTATCAGCTTTGTCCATATGCAATGTTTTAGTATTAATTCAACGCAAGTCTTTGTACATGAGGGCCCTGATCTGTTGTGTCAATCCTCCCATGTTAGGACTCAACCTACGCAGCCACTACGCCCCCTGCTGCTGGAATCAGCTTCCAGAAATGATCAGATGTGCTCCAACATTAGGCACATTCACATTAAGACTGAACACACATCTGTTTAGCTGTGCCTTTACTGAATGAGCACTGTGCTGCGTCCCACAGATCGCACTATCATGTTTTTCTCTTCTTCTTCATTCTTTTATATCACATTTTACCTGTTTTTATGCTTTTTTTTACTCATTTTAATTATTTGTTTTTATTTTTATTTTACTTGTTTCTTTTATTCTTGTCTATGTAAAGCACTTTGAATTGCCACTGTGTATGAAATGTGCTATATAAATAAACTTGCCTTGCCAAAATGATGTAGTCAGTAGGCATGTACCGGTATATAAGACTCTCGATATGATAACCATGGATTAAAATATCACAGGTTCACAGTATTGTGCTCACTGCTCTAATATATATTCTTTTTAAATGCCTGGGTAAAAACTAAACCTTTTTCCCCTTTAAACACAATATATTTTATTTTTTGAAAGATTTACGATATTTTGGAGCAGTGAACATGTCAGGCTGAATAATTAAAATAAATCACTCACTTGACTTCAAACACACTGATTTCTTTACAACTTAAAACAGTATCTTTAGATATACTGCTGTCCTAAAAAACAAAACAAGTAAAATTAAAAATCGTACACATACCTCAGGAGCAGCATAGGAGAATGTTGACGTTTTTAAAACCTTGACTATTCCAAACCACAGTATACCTTAAACACGGTTACCGTCCCATGCCTGGTTGATATGCGTGCGTAATGTTGTTTTGTGTTTAAAGTTTATTTAAGCTCCAATGCCATAATCTTTCTGTTGTGTTTATCATGTTTACCTCTCTCCGTGTGGAGTGATTTTAACATCCGTTTCATCAGCACTCTTAATTAATTATATGGACGATTGATAAAAGATCTATGCATTATCATGGGAGGAGCAGCACCAAAGCAGGACCATCTTTTAGCAGTGTGGACGTGGTTAAACTGTATTCTTCATTGTGGACACTGAGTGAAGCCTGATTAGTTAGTTTTGTAATCCAAACTTTGATGATTAACAGCTCAATGCATTGGGTTAAAATAACCCATAGTTGGGAAGATGCTATAATAACCTATAGTTGGGTTATATGTCAGGGTATTTTAACCCAACTATTTTTACAGAATAAACAGTGCATATGTTTGGCTTTTGACTCATTATTTAACATATGTGGCTAAGAAATCGCTGTTAACTCATTTTTGTTGTTGTTGTTGACAGTGAAAATGTTGTCAGTCGCAGTAATAATCCTAGGCATTATTATGTTGATATAGAAGTGAAAACCACCTAAACCCAGATCAATCCACAGGTCAACATCTCTATACAGGGATAAAACCAGCTGAATTTTTGACCAATAGGAAAACCAGTGCCAGTAAACCACAGCAGAACATCTCCAGCGCAGTCCCAGACCCACATCAACACACACAGACTGCTCTACAGTTCACTAAAGCCACTGTATATCCACAGTTAAAGCAGTCAGACAGCGGGACTGTAGCGCAGGTGTGCTGATAAACCAGGTCAGAGCTCGGGTCCTCCACACATCAGCATACTAATATCCAGAGCAGAAGGGTTCCGGAGAGATGATGCAGGCATCAGGAAACCACATCATTAGCATATTCATCACCAGCAGCTGTGTGCTCTACTATAGTACATTAATTAATCATCATTACTAACGCTAGCACTGCTCTGAGATTATCGGTGACCGGAAGTACCCCTCACTCACGACACCGGATTAAGATGATGATTATGATGATCAGTATAATCTCGAGCAGTGCAGATGTTGCAGCGGTGTGTGTGTGTGTGTATGTGTGTGATGCGGATCTAAATCCTCGGTTGCTCACCTTCACCGTGCAGTGCTCGCGGTCATCGGTAAACGCGTCGAGGGTTTATTTATTTATTCAACACACCGGAGCGCAGCGGCGCGTCTGATCTGTGTCTGTTCCTCCGGTCGCTCGTGCCACGCGCGCGTCGCCAGTTTCCGCACGGAGCGATTTGAGGGGAGGACGCACGCGAGCTGACGTCATCAGCGCGTCAGAAACACCGCGCTAGTTTTAGGCTTTTTGAAATAGATTTAATATTAACGAGAGGAATTAAACACTCGAAAGATTTAGCTTTATATGAAAGAAAATCAAGTAAATAATACATTTACTTGAATTTGAATGCTGTTTGTGCACTACCATAGATATTTACATTAGATGTCGCCTACCCTGTTGTTGTCTATAGGAAGGAATGCGTCAATAGAGCCGCCATTTTGGTACAGGGTAGCGCTCCTTTGAAATTAATGCGGGACCAAGCTGCAGTGGAGGACCGGCCATCCAAAGCCAGAGAGATATACACATATATACATCTGGTCATTATACAAATAAAAAAATAAATATAATTACGAAAATTATAATTGTACATCACTTTTCTACATTGATAGATCAGTGACTGCACGGGCATTGCTGACAACAAGTGTGTTTGTGTGTACAGAAATGTACTATCCACCCTCCCTGTTAATTTTGATCTAATCATGTCCTGAAACACAGCTCCTCTCCTGCTTTCACTGCTCATACTGACGGAGGGAGCGATTCGTTTGTGAATGAATCTCCATAAAAAACCTTTGCAAATACCTTGGAAACGGCATAGCAGAAAATATTGGTGGTTATAAAACCGTGACTTTTCCAAACAGACATAAACCTTGAAACCGGTAATTGTCCAATGCCTACTTATGATCACAAGTCTTGATGTTTGCTGTACGTTTTACCTTTAATGTCTAGAACTGTGGCTGGTGAACTTTCATCCTCATAGGCAACATCCACAACATCCCCAGGTTCAAATTTCTTTTTCAGTAGGTTCTTTTTAGAAACAATAATGTCATAGGTCGATGGTTCCTCCCTCCATTCCACTAACGTTAGGACTCATGTTTTGCCCATTTTCTAAGATAGATAAATATATAGACATAAATAAACACACACATACATGCACACAATTAATTCTGATGGCTACAGCTGACTGTATCCATGACAACAGTTTTACCTTAATGTACCTGCCAAAGAGTAGTTTGCTGTCCGGCCGCAGCGATAAATGATTTCTGAGGTAACAAAAAACTATATTAGCATCAATTATAAGCAGTGAAAATACTAAATAAAACACTGGTTATGTTAACAATGATAAAAAATATCATTTCATATAGTCATTTTTTAAATTAAGTTCTTATATGATGGGCGGTAGTAGACCTTATATTACGTTAGCAATGTACTAGTATTGTTAATGTGATCTCGACTTTAAAAATCAAGTAAGTATTTGTTTTGGTGTTATAAGACAATTTACTGATTTAACATTAAAACAGAGCAGTTATTGGAGCACTTTAACGATAAAATAACTTAAGAAAAGTGTTTACCTTCAGAAGACGGTTGGTGACAGTTGACTGACGTGCATTCGAATCGGCGACGTGAAGCGAGTCATCTCAATGAATCGAATCTTTTCTCTGAATGATTCATTTTACCGGAGTTTATAATGTAAACTACACTGTTACGCCAGTAGGTGGCGAAAACGAGCGTCTTTTTTAAGTGTGAAAGACTGTATAAATCTGTAAAGCACAGATTCATCAAAACACACGTATTCCACAAAAAATAATTTATTTTGTAAGAAAAAATCTGTTTATAAGAATGTTTGTTTTAATGTGTCTAGTCCATTTTGTTAAATAATACACACACATATATTAGTAGCAGTCATTATTAACTTAAAATATTGTAAATATATTATGTGTATAAAATAGACCTATACATTATTGGCAGCAATGTATTATCTAATTTCAATTTAGCATTTATATCTTATTTTATTTAAAATGTTTAACAAATGTTTATATTAATTTAATAATTAAATTTACTCTAACATTGCAGAAAACACATTATGTTTACCAATCACCTGAACAATAACCTTAACCTGCTTCTTTTTAAAGAATAAAAATGGAGTAAAAAGTGTACTTAAATGAAGAGGCACCAGTTCCAGCTGCCACAAAAAGGCAATGGACACAGAATAAAATAGGTTGCTCAGGTCAAAAAGACAGAGAATAAAGGATAACAGCAACAAACATTTTAAAAGGAAGAGGAAGAGACTCTGTTGAACTCATAAAATGCACAGACATACGTTTAACATATATCTACCTCAAGGACAGGTCTTGCAGTTTATTTATTTATTTATTTATTTATTTATTTATTTTTGGATCTAACCAAACAGATTTTTAATAAATGTAAAAAAAGTATAGAAATGAAACGTAAAAGTGTACAGCTTGCTTGTTTGCATAAATGCATAATTTCAATGGTTTAGTGTAATGGTTGATTTTTATAATTGCCTATAATCTACTTTTATACTTTATTTATGTATTTATTTTCTTATTTTTTGTTTGTTTGTTGTATTGTTTATCTGTTAGAACTCATATTGTATTGCTACCAAAAACAAGTGACACAATTTCTTTCATTCCAATTACAACAAATAATTCCTGCAAGTCCTGCAGGAATTATAAAATCCTGCAGGATTTGTAACTTGCTTGGATCCATTGTAAAAACCTGTAGGAAATTCCTGCACATATTGTCAATGTGTCCTACAGGATTTTTGAATTCCTGCAGGACAGCAGCTTTTATGAAGGAAAAAAAATGAATCCTTCAGGATTCCTGCAAAAAGTACTGCATGATTCTAAAACCTGTAGGAATTGCCTGCACATAATGTCAATTTGTCCTGCAGGATTTCATAATTCCTACAGGATACCAGCAGGTTCCTGCAGAAAAAATGAAAATCCTGCAGGATTCCTGTAGGCTATTTTTGTAAGGGTGAAAAGCAACAGTGTATAACAGTGTCATAATAAATAAAAATATTGTTAAAAATCTATTTTTTGTTGCATGTGGGTAACCATGTACTGTTTGTAAAAGGTGCTTGATTGTGCATTGGACCTGATTGGACCCCGTTGGATTTGATTCGACGTTTTGCCGATTTGCCCCTATTGGCAGCGCAGTGTATGTTTAGTTCCGGTTTAGCTTTGAATGAATGGGAGACTTCCTCTGAAAAATAAAAATATTAACATTGCACAATCTGATTTAAGACTATAACAATACTGGGCATGTGTTCAAACGTTTCTCTTTCAATACTGAACTGCTTTTTGAGTTAGAAAATGATTCTCTAAATTATTAAGAATAGAAATAAGCTATTGTTTATCAAGGAAAGTCTATGTTTTAGTGCTGCATCAAACGATTTTTTTAATAATCGATTAATCTGTCGATTATTTCTTCGATTGATAGATGAATCAGATTTAAAAAACAAGAAAAGCATTTATTTCCAACCCCTTTTTTTAAAAAAAAGCTCATCCCTCAGCTGTTATAATAATAGTAATAATAATAATGTTACAGCCAAAACATAATTTTACTTGTAGGCCTTGCATATTGTGTTGTGCTCCACCCTGCCTCTCTCTCTCTCTCTCTCCCCCCAGCCTTTAGGTTAATTAGGCCTCAGCTGCTAATCATTATGCACCTGTCTGAATTGGAGTGGTTTGGCTTTAAATACTGCCTTCTGAAGCTAGTGAGCTGAGGAACACTCGGTTACTCCCCAAATACATCCAAGTAAGCATCTGGTGAACTTAGAGAAGAGCAGATTCAACTTTATAGTTACTTTCACTGTGTGTATGAATAAATCACATCAGCAAATTATATTTGAATGTATTGTCAGACTTCCTTGTGTGTTTTAAAAACTCTAAATTGGATGTTTTACTAGTACTTGTGTATATTTACATGTCTAATTCATAAAATAAGCATTGGGTGGTTTAAATGCTGCATAATTGTGATGATATGACACGTCTTTCTCTGGCTCAGCACCAGACACCGCGCTAAAGCTCTATTTGAGTTCTTCAGTTGCCGCTCTAAGGGTAAATGAGCTAACGCTAACTTGTCAAGCTGGATAACTAGTAAAACATCAGCACCAGGTATTTTACGTTCCTCACTTCAAAATGGAACAAAACTAGAATTCTGTAGTGTTTTACCCAGCTGTTGAACTCCCTCCCTCCTCATTCCTGTTTATGAGGTGCCGAACTCTATACCAGTGCACGAGAGAGACCGTGTTCACTCCACTCTGCGCTAAACGAATGGTTTTTTTAAATAATTGAATAAATAAATAAAAAATAAATAATTAAATAATCTTCACGTCGCGAGACACAAATCGATTATGAAATTCGTTGCCAATGCTTTTAGTAATAGATTTCTATCGATTTAATCAATTCGTTGTTGCAGCCCTATGTTTGCAACCTTTTCACTTAATTTTATTTCCTCAATAATGGATTTATTTTTACTTTAATGCTGCTCTGAAAACTAAAATATATTATCTGTTATGTAAATGCTCCAGAATGAGTACAATTCTTTATTAAATCTCCTATTGCCTGGTATGTCGTGTATATAAATGCGATCAGTTTAATCATTGTATTATCTACTGATCTATTAATGTTTTGTTCAGTTTCTCCATTTGAATGAATTAATTGTTTTACCCCCACATTTTGGGTGGATTTAATTTGATATCTATACTACCTTTTAATTAATAATGTTAAAAACTAATTCATAATAGAATAATACTGAATTCAAATGCCGTCTTCTTGGTGGTATTTTTGCAATTGTAAAGTTTTATAATGATTTTGTTCGATTAGTACGAGTCATATACAGCACTGTATTCTATATAGAAGCAAATGTCAGCAGTAGAATGTGAATATAAATATGTGTTTGTGAATCAGCTGTCTAAAGTAACACAGCAAAACACCCACAGTTTTATTTGTTTCTTATTCTTCAGGACATAAAATATGAAACATAATCTGACAAAATAAAAATGTAAACATCGTAAATCTTTATTTGACAAATACTGACAGGTACATATCAACTTCATCTGTAGTGAAGACAGCAACACAAAGCAATACTCAGTTTAAAGTCCCATTTTCTCAGTTATAGCAGAAATCTGGATATCTGGGTTTTTTTTTAGATGTTAGATGTCTCACCTTGGATGCAGACAACAAAAAACAGAGCAGTCACAGTCTTACCATGTCTGTAGTAAATATACAGCTGACTAAGTGAGTTATCTAAGGGGATTTCTGTGTATAGGCTAAAGTAACAACACTGCTGGATTGAGACCGGACACCGAGTAATGTTATGTACAAAAATAAATTTCTGTAATAGAAAATGTTTTATCTGCATCAACAATGTGAAGTTTTATAAAGACGTGTTTGGCTATTAACTGCTAAATGCATAATTATCCTGCAGCCGAAAAAGGCGAATCGTTAAAGCGGAGAGAAATGTGGATCACGTGAGGAGATGATTGACAGGTCTGTAACTAAGCAACAAAAGGGTCCGTTAAAGAGGAATAACGGCAGCTTGTCCCACAGCTTGCGTACTCTCTGGTTACACTCAAATGTACCGTTTATTCACACAATGAAAAGTGTTTGTATAGTTTTAGGACGTAGAATAAGTTACGTTAGGTCTTACCGGAGTCAAGGACGCACCTCAGGAGTAGGGGGAGGCTGCAGACTTGGATCCAGACAGTTTTACGGCCTAGGCAGTTTTACGCCCCTGTTGTTCCTGTTGTGTCCAGTAGAGGGAGGCAGTACAGTGTTATTTTAAGCCTCCAGAACTTTATCACACCCAACCAAACGCGACACCATGAAGAGGTATCTATGTATGTTAAATACGTGTTTAAAACATTAGCAAACATGAAACTTAAACCTATTTTTATTAGATTAAGGTCGATATAAGTGTATGTCAACACAAACAAATTGGTGTAGTATAACAGCATGTGTTAGTTTGACTCAATTTTAGCTATGTGCAGGCCAGCTACATGTTCTACATCAACAAAAAACAGTAAAATAACATTAATCTACATAAGAAAGTGTGATATATAGGCTAATTTTCTTTTACCTTTTTGTCTCAGCAAGGGAGTAATTATTATATATTTTATAATTTAAAGATATATATTTTCTCATAGATTAGACAATACACTTGCATGGTCTGGGTTGTCAGCCAAATCTACACTTCAACTACACTACATTATTCCTCCAAATTTGACTTTCTTAAATATTGAAATAAATCTAAACAGATCTGAAAATTTAATTGATTTTATTTTAAATTTAAAATTG